GTCAAAGGTGTCGGTACCGCCGGATTTCCGGAGTACACCGCCGCTTCTTCTTCATTTTGCCGCTGCTCAAGGAACAACAATAAAAATGAGAGTAATTGATTATTAGGGTTTGTAAGAAGGAGGAGTTTAATGTCTAGCAGGTGGACTTGCATTTGTGACGTCGATTTGGTCGGTGGAAATTTTTTTTTTTTTTTTTTTTTTATCCCTATCTGGAAAAGGAAAACAAAAACAAGAACAAGAAACTGTGAATCTCATGAACAAACAAATTGTTTGCCAAAAATTAGGAAAAATTACAAACATATTGCCCAATTCTAAAATGCGGGGTTGAATGCATACAAAACTCCAACTGCTTTAATTGTGAAATCAAATTAAAACTTGAGAATTCAAAGACAAAATTACTTCAAATTTTTTGTTTTCTTCAATCGCTCACCTGAAAACTCGCAGCCTCCCTCCAACACCTCTCCATCACCCTGGGGTCGATCTTCTTCCCTCCTCATCACCGTTTCATGCTCCGACGCCTGGTGGCCGTCTCCGGCATGGAGATCCTCATCCACCTAAAGTTCAACTAAGGGTATGTTTGGTTCAAAAGAGGGGAGGGGAGGGGAGGGAAGGGACGGGAGGGGAGGGGAGGGGAAGGGAGGGAAAATAATTTATCTTGTTTGGATGAATTTTGTAAGAGGGGAGGTGAAGGAAAGTGATTAACCTTGTTTAGTTAAAAGATGGAAGGGGAGAGAAAATAATGTTAGAATGACAAATATATCCTTAATGATGTAAGGAAAAAAAAAACACAGTAAGATCAAAAGAGTAATTTGTTGTTAAAGTTTTCCCTCCCCTCCAAATTCCCTCACTTTTGGAGGGGAGCACATTTTTCCTTGGAGGAGGGAATTGAAGGGAAAATTTAAACCCCTCCCCTTTACAAAAAGTTGAACCAAACAAGGGGAAATAAAATTTTCCCTCCCCTCCCTTCCCCTCCCCTCCGTTTTCCCCCGGCTAAGTGATATTATTTCAATCTCCTTCCATCTCCTTCAAACTCCGAAGAATTGGTTGAAGGATTTGAGCTATGGAGGAGAAAAAACCGATTGATGAGAAATTTTAGTTAGTCCATCGAGGTTAGTTTTAGATTGCAAAGCATAACATTGTCCTTCCTTAATCTCCAGATCTTTCTTCAATTTCTTTAGTCGGTGTAGGTTGCGTGTGAGAAAAAACGAGAAAAGTGTATGGGCAGACGTTTCTGCGAAAAAGAAGAAGAATTGCAGTCAAAACGCAGGATATGAGGGAAGTGACGACCTGACCGATTAATTAACAATTAATTACCTCAATGGCAAAAGCTGTAAATACACGATAAAAGGAAGGACATTTTTGACACAAAAAGACACTTGTTAAGTTCACAATTGGTCCTCAATGTCTTCTTATATGTACAGTAGAGATATTAGTTGTTTAGTTTTGGGTTTTGTTATACACTCTATACATTTTTCTTAGGCTTATAAGAGCATCTTTAGTGGGGAGGTTTTTCCCAGGTTTATAAACCCACTCCCCAACCTTTACTACTAAATTAGAGGGGTTTGAGGTTTATGTTTGCACGTGAGGTTTGCAAACCAAAATCTCTTGTAAACCTCTTGTGTGGGCCATTTTTCTTTATTTTTTAATGTTTCTATTCTACATGGCAGTGAATGCCACTTTTGTGATGTAGTTTTATTTTATTTTTATTTTTTTTAATGAATTTTAATGTAGTAACAAAAAGTTTGTTTAAATTGCAATTAGGTAATAAGTTTTTCTCCCAACTAGCTTTGTTTTTCCTTTACAACACCCAAAAAAATTCTATGATGTAATTATTTTACTTAGACTTCCCAAGGTTAATATTTAGA